TGTTTAGTTCCGCCCTAGTGTGCACGATGCGCTCTTGCTTTGTCATGTCAGCTTTACATGCCGCGTTGTGCAGTTACCCAGCGTTGTGCGCGTTGTGCTCCCGCCATGCCACCTAGTCTTGAGCTGTTCTCTCAACCCGTCCGCGATGTGCCTTCGTTCCGCCAGCATCATTAGCGCAAGGCCACATGCAAAAGAGGCGTCAAGAGGCGTTCAAGATCGGGGGCGCCCCGCGGGTCCTGGGACCGTCGGCGGCCCGCCTTCCGCTTTGTCGCCCGCCCGCGACATGTTTTCCCCGCCCCCCTTCCCCCGGGTCCCGAACGGGGGTCAGGCCGTTTCCAGCTTTCTCAAGGATCGGTATCCGCTCACCTGGAGCCGCTGGTTTCAACCTTTAGTTCCCCTGTTTCATTTGTGCTCCGCCTTTGCAGTCGGCCGCCCCATATTTGTTCGGTGCACAGCCTCTCCCCCCCCTTCCTCCCTCGGCAGATGTTTGGCTCTTGAAGTTTCGCTTCGCACGATCTCTCGAGCTGCACCTCCCGCGCCATCCTTCCGACCAAGTGATGGCGCCCAAGCTCTCGAAGCCCGTGCCGATGCCGTGGCCTGCGGTGACGCATACCGACTCGCCCAGTCACGACGCGGCGCCCCTTCGCGAGGCGCTGGCGGCGAAGGCAAAGGCGAAGTCCGAGGCACGCGCGAAGGCCAGCGGTTTGACCGCGGCCGACGCGCCCACTCCCAAAGCGGGGCCTGCGCCGCGCCCTGGCCAGCAGGTGAGCGCGTCGGAGAGCAGCGACATCTCGGACGAGGGGTTCGACGTGATGTTTGAGGCGGCGACCTTTCGGACGGCGCCGACACTGCCTACGGAGTCGGCGACGCCTGCCGAGGGTGCCGACGGAGGCAGCGGCACGGGGGCCGCCCCCAGCGCCGCTGCCTCTGACGCGCCTCTGACGGTGCCCCCACGGCGACGGCCAATGCGCCCGCTGAGCCCTCGGCGATGCCCCCGTCGGCGGTGGTGCCAGTGACGAAGGCGCTCGCGCTCCACAACCTCCAGCTACGGGGGCAGTCTGTGAGCGGCCACGGCGGGCGAGGCGCGCGCAGCGACGCCGACGGCTGCCGCCCCATGGACGATGAGACCGCCAGTGAGGCCCCGAGTGCGGCGACCACGGGCGCCCTCAGCGGGCACGGCGGCAAACGCCACCGCCGTCGCAGCAACGAGGCCGCCTACGGCAAAGCCCCCCCACCGAGCGGCGGCGCGGCCGCTGGGCTCGAGGACGCTGAGATGATGACGCAAGCGGACTACCTCGCGGCGGGCTACGTGCACTGCATGGGTGCGTACTGGCTCCCGCCGAAGCGCCTGGGCTGGCGTCGTGAGTGCGCAGCGCTGGATGACTGGAACGCCATGATGGTGGAGTACGTGGACGAGCTCAACCGTGGCGAAATGCGCCGCTACAGCGAAGCTTCAGAGCACAACCCGCAAGCTGCGGAAGGGTGAGCAAGGCCAATGCAAGCTGTACACGTGCTCGCGCTGCGTGGCGGCGGCGCAGGGCATCCCCGAGCACGAGGCTGTGAAGGTTGCGGCGCGCCAGAACAAGGGAGCTGGCTCCATTGCCCACGCCGCCAAGCGCGTGGCGAAGTTCCGCGCGAGCTTCGACCACATCAAGGAGGGCATGGACGTGCTCGTGGGCCACGCGCTCTCCAACGACGGCTTGCTAGCCCTGCGGAGGGCGACGGAGGGCGTAGGGGTGGGCATCGCTCCCGAGAGCGTGGGCGCCCCTCCGGCCACGGAGACGGTGGCGCAGGAGGTCGGTCGCCCGATGGCGGTGGAGGTGGTGACGGGGCCGCCCCGCCCCGCGCGCCACCTCCACCCCTCGAGGACGGACCTGACGCCGCAGGCCCTCCCCGCGGCGATGATAGCGACCCCCCGCTCGACAACAACGCCGAGTGCCAGGAGCACCAGCTGGTCGACGCCAAGACTGTGGAGGAGGTCGCGGATGTCGAGCCCCTGCTGCGGCTCGGCCTCTCCAAGAAATCGCTGAAGCGCATGGCGCGGGCCTACAGTGTCCTCAAATTCGAGACCATGCGCACCCACATGCTGGGAGGCATGGGGCCCATCCTGGAGAAGAAGGGGGACATGATGAAGGGCGCGGCGGCGCAAGACGGAGTTCAGAAGTGGCTCGACGCGCTGGATGGGGAGGCAGAGGCTGATGTGGCAGGGCTGAAGAAGGGCCTCCTGGAGGCCTCGGAGATCGTGGACGCGCACCTGGGACACAAGCGCGCGTGGAAGGAGGAGTGCCAGGGCAACGCCATGGCGCAGGAGGCCCACCGACGGATGGGCGACTACACGGACCAGCTCTACCGTGGCAAGGGCTCTACGTTCAACATGTACTACAAGTGCTCGGCCAACAAGACCTGGGACAATCCCAAGGGATGCTGCTCGGTGATCCGTTCGGATCGCTGGACGCAACTGCTCACCTGCGCGCAGGAGGCGGCGGGGGAGTCCGGCCAGCGCTGGTACTGCCATTGTGGCGCGCGCTACGCGACCTCCTACGGCGTCTGCATCGAGATGATAGAGGAAGAGCTGAGCCCGCCACGCGCGTACTACATGCACGCGGACTTCCCTCAGGAGGACATCCGCGACTTGAAGGCCCTGCTGCGTTACGACAAGCTCAAGAAGGAGGGGGTAGCGGTGCTCAGCGCTGTGGACCTCCTGAAGCACCTGCCCAAGGTCGAGCCGCTGGCGGTGGGCACCGTCTTTAAGCGCTACGCTCCGCTGCAGCCGCAGTGGGAGAGCCACTACGTGCTAATGGACGGGCTCTCCTGGGACGACCTGCCTGAGTTCGAGTGGCCCGACTTGTACTCGCAGGTTGCCTGGGGGCTGAACGACCCAGCCTGGGCGGGCTACAGCAAGAACCAGCGGAAGAAGGCCAAGAGGAAGCGCCTGGCGGCCGCGCGCGCGGAACTGGAGGCCTATGAGCGCCGCCACAACCTCCGGGAGGGCAGCCTCACGGGCGGCGGGGGCGGTACCGGGGTCGCCCCGCGTGCCACTCCCGTCCGCACCGCCAGTGCCCCCCCCGCTGGCTCGGCCCGCGGCAGCCAGGTCCCGCCACCGCCGCCTGCTGGAGCCCCTCAGGCGGCCATCATGGTCCCGCCGCCGCCGCCGCTGACGGCGCCCCCTGCGGTGCCGCCGCCGCCGGCTGGCCCGCTCCCGCAGCAGATCCCCAATGCCGCCGTCCTGAACGTGGCCCTCGGTGAGGCTGGCGGTAGTGGTGACCTCGGGGGAGAGGTGCAGGCGCTGCCGTCGCAGGTCTTCGCAGCAATTGCGCAGGGGACAGGCCAGTCCGCCAGGGCGCTGAGACTCTGCAGGCCCCCAGCATCGTTTACTTCTGAGCCCTCGGGGGGGCTACGTGAGTTTCTGTGTTAAGATTCCGAGCCTGCCACTCTCAACGATGCTGGGCCTGTGTGCTCGCTTACGCTCCAGCTTTAGCAGCGCCGCCGTGCCAGCTTGCGCGGGTGCGCCCACAGTGGTGCCCCCCCTCGCGCCGCGGGCCCTGTTGCTTAGTTCTTCGTTCTTCGCACGGTCAACTGTGCGCCTAGCCATCTTGGCTTGCCATCCTGGTCTCTTCTCGCGCCTACTTGCGCTCGTTGGCCTCGATGGCGGTACTGGGGTCGCCCCGTGTGCTGCTGTGCCGCCGCTGTCGCTTTACTCTGGGCCGTAGGGACCAGTTGCCCTCGGATAAGCGCCCGCCGCTGCATGCACGTCAGACCCGCCATTCCACCCAGAAGAGGTGCTCGCTATATACTGGAAATGAGGCAGCCACAAGGACGCTCATCCCAAGGCGGTTGAGCCGTGGTGATGTGGTGCACGTGTCCGAGTAGTAGTAGTAGTAGTAGTAGTAGTAGTAGTAGTAGTAGTCGTAGTAGTAGTAGTAGTAGTAGTAGTAGTAGTAGTAGTAGTAGTAGTAGTAGTAGTAGTAGTAGTAGTAGTAGTAGTAGTAGTAGTAGTAGTAGTAGTAGTAGTAGTAGTAGTAGTCGTAGTCGTAGTAGTAGTAGTAGTAGTAGTAGTAGTAGTAGTAGTAGTAGTAGTAGTAGTAGTAGTAGTAGTAGTAGTGTAGTGTAGTAGTAGTAGTGGTAGTCGTAGTCGTAGTCGTAGTCGTAGTAGTCGTAGTCGTCGTAGTAGTAGTAGTAGTAGTAGTAGTAGTAGTAGTAGCAGTAGTGTAGCAGGAGGAGGAGGAGGAGGAGGAGGAGTACTAGCAATGCTATGATGTGCTATGCTATGCTATGCTGCGCTATGCTATGCTATGATATGCTATGATATGCGATGCGATGCTGCGCTGTGTTATGCTAAGCTATGCTATGCTATGATATGCTGCGCTATGCTATGCTATGCTATGCTATGCTGCGCTATGCTATGCTATGCTGCGCTATGTTATGCTATGCTATGCTAATGATGCGCTGCGCTAAGCTAAGCTGAGCTAAGACGAGATGTATGATCTTGGGGGGGCAACCATATATATATATATATATATATATATATATATATATTCCGCCTGGACAAGTGGCAGCTACTGAGTACAGACGCGCGCGCGCGCTTCCCCGAACGCTCACCCGCACGCGCGACAAACTGCCCCGAAGCACAAGAAACGCTGTCGAAGCCGCCGTCGTGAGCTCAGCGCGGTACCCTAACTCAGAAACTGGAATAGCCGCAAGTGTGGAAATTTGAAACCCGTGCGCCCGAGCATCCCGCACGCACAAGCCCACGCCATGGCTGATGCACAAAAGCTGCCGACGCACAGAAGTCGCACTACCCTGCCAACGATAGACGAGCGCGTTCCACTACTCGCAAAGTGACTACTCGCAAATGGCCCGGATTCGCCCGGGGGGATCTACGAGAAATTACATTGAAGCAGACGTGTGCTTTTCGGACGTTTGCGAATGGGCACTGTGCCAGTAGTGGAACGCGCCCGGTGAAACGAATCTCTCCCCTTCCCCGTCTCTTCCCGTGCTGCCTGGGGGTGGCGGACCATGCGGCACCGGCGGGCCGTACGGGGGATGGCCTGAGGCCGGGCACGAGAGCGGAAGAGGAGGGAGGGCAGGCCGGGCGGAAGGTCTGCACGCGATGGGAGCCAGGGCCAGGCGACTCTAGAATTATGTTGCTCCCATCGAACGTACAGACCACATCTTAAAAAAATAATTTCGAGCACCCGGAAAAGTGTCGAAAGAGTATCGAAACAGTGTCGGCCGAGTGTCTCCCAGGGCCCGACACGTGAAAACCCTCGAGTTTCGGTACGTTTGTTCTGGCGCTCGAAATTGTTTCTGTTGATCCAGGCGAAAGCAGGCTGGAGCATCACGACTCCAGAAAAAGAAGAAGCCGAATAAACAAAAAAAATCTGCTCGACGGTCCGCGCGGATTCCCTGGTTCTGCGCCGGACCTTTCTCCCCTGGGGCGCGGAGCGCACCAGGGGCGCCGCCCGGGGGGGCCCAGGCGCGGATGCAAGAAGTCCGCGCGGAGCTGCGAGAGGTAAAGCTCGTGCAGCTGTTCTTCGCCGACGAGGGACAGACGACTCATGCAATCCATAATTCTCACGCATCTTCTAAGGAGGCCTCCCAGGAGGGGTCCGAGCAGATGGGGTCGGAGGATCCCGCCGTATCGCCGATACATCGGCGAGGCCAGGCTCCTGCTGCCGCTCTGCGTCGGCGAGGGACACAGACGCCTCGTGGAGTCCACAACTCTCGCGCACCTTCGGGCCCCGCATGCGGGCACGAGTGGCTTCCGCTCGGCATGAGCGCAGCGTCAGGTCGGGCATGTCCCCCATACAGGCGGATTCTGGGCGGAAAAAAAAATGAAAAATACTCCAAAATGGTCAAAGATACTCACACAAATCGTCCCCTGACGATTGCTTGACTATTTTTGAATATTCCTCCTGCAGAGGGACAGACCCGACTGAAGCGTAGCGGGAAATCAAGTGCCCCCCAGGGGGTCAACCCCGACGTCGGCACACGGCGCCCGGTGGTTGGAGCGCCTCAAGGCGCGCGGTGGTCGGCCGCGACGGGGAGGCGGTTCTGGAGCCGTCGGCGGGAGTGGCGACCCCCCCCCCCCCCGGGGGGGGCAAGTGAGCAGGGCAGAAGGGCACACGGCTGCCTCTCCGAACGCGAGCCGCAGCCAGAAGCCGGGTCCGCTCGCAGAGGCGCCTTCCGTGGAGCGCCCCCCTGGCCTCCCGCCGTCTGCGTGCGGCTCCGTTCCTCGCTCCCTCCGCCGCCGTGCCGCGCAGACTGCCGAACGCCAGCGGCGCGGGGCCGCACTCGGGGTGACCCCGTTCCCCTTGCACCCCCGCGACCCCTCCCCCCGCAGCGCGGTGGGTGGCAGGACACAACTTGTCATTGCAGCGGCCTTGCAGAAGTGCTGCAGCGGATGTCTGCGTGGATTCCTGAGTGGATGTTTGCCCGAAGCGGCGAGCGAAAAACGAAGTGAATTTCGCGTGGGTTCTTTTTGGTCTTCATCCCTGGCCAAAAAAAATCGCACGAAATTCACCTCGAAATCTGGAACGAAATTTTCCTGGCATGTCGGGCCCATCCCATGGTTTTCCGACCGAAATCCGCTCCGCGATGTGGGCGCCATGAAACTTGATCAACCCTCACTAGGCCCTGATTGGCGCCAGTCGGTCGAGGCACAGGGACGACGCAGACGACGAGGACGAGGGCCACGACGACAAAAACGACGACGACGACGACGACGACGACCACGACCACGACCACGACCACCACCACGACCACGACCATGACCACGACCACGACCACGACCACGACCACGACCACAACGACCACAACGACCGCCATTCGTGGCTCTGGCTACACTGAGAACCACGACGAAGACGTATTTCCTCCTTCTCATCCTCGACCTCGCCAGCAGATGCGTTGCTCATCCAGGAAGCACCTGCTGTCAAGAACCGCTCCGCTTTCATCCCCCTGGTTCTCTTCCTCCCTCTGCCCCTCATTCATCTCCTCCACTCATCCCTCTCATTATCATCACCACACCACCATCACCACCACCACCATCAGCAGCATCAGCAGCATCATCATCAGCATGATCAAATTCATCATCATCATCATCATCATCATCATCATCATCATCATCATCACCATCACCACCACCACCACTATCATCATCATCATCAGCAGCAGCACATCAGCATCATCATGATTAGCAGCACATCAGCATCATCGCATCAGCATCACCATCGTCACCATCATCAGCAGCATTACCTTCATAATCATCATCAGCAGCGGCAGCATCAGCATTATCAACATCACATCATCATTATCAGCATCATCATCATCATCAGCATCATCAGCATCAGCAGTATCATCCTCATCAACATCATCATCACCATCACCACCAACCACCATCATCGTCATGATCGTCATCGTCATCATCGGCAGCAGTAGCAGCAAAATCATCATGAGCAGAATCATCATCATACTCTTCACAATCATCCTCACCCGCACGCTCACCATTATATTCATCATCATCATCACCACCACCACCACCGTCGTCATCATCATCACACCATCACCATCACCACCACAACCACCAAAATCACCACCACGACCATCAACATCAACCTCATACACAAAAACATAGCTAGATATCAGCATCGCCACCACCACCACTACGACCACCATCATCGTCATCATCATCAGCAGCATCATCATCTTCAGCATGACCAAATTCATCATCATTACCTGCATCACCAACATGATCGTCATCATGATCACCACCATCGTGTGTCTTGACCATCACCACACAATCACCATCACCACCACCACGACAAACCACCACAACCACAACCATCACCATCATAAGCATAAACATCATCATTCTCATCGCCATCATCATCATCATCACCATCACCATGGTCATCACCATCATCATCAGCATCATCAGCATCAGCATCAACATCATCATCACAATCACCACCAACATCACCACCATGATCATCATGAATATCATCATCATCATTATCTTCATTTTTATCGTCATCATTACCATCACAATCATCATCACCATCACCATCATCAACATCATTGTCATGTTCATCGTCATCGTCATCGTCATCGTCGTCACCATCACCATTGCCATCGCCATATCTTTGAGATCACCTTCATCATCATCATCAGCCATCATTGTCATCATCATCATCATCAGCATCATCATCAGCAGCAGCATCATCATGGTCATGGTCATCGTCATCGTCATCGTCGGCACCATAGCCATCGCCATCGCCATCGCCATTATCATCGCCATCATCATCATCATCATCATCATCAGCAGCATCACCATCAGCAGCGTCATCATCAGCAGCATCAGCATCAGCATCGTCGTCATCATCATCATCATGATCATCATGGTCATGATCATCATGGTCATGGTCATCATCGTCATCGACATCGTCGCCACCATCGCCATCGCCATCGCCATCGCCATTATCATCGCCATCATCATAGTCATCATCATCACCAGCATTATGAGCAGCATCAGCATCAGCATCGTCATCATCATCATCATCATCAGATGCATCATCTTCATCATCATCAAAATCATCATGGTTGTGGTCATCGTCATCGTCTTCGTCATCGTCATCGTCATCAGCGTCATCGTCATCGTCGTCACCATCGCCATCGTCGTCGCCATCGCCAAAATCATCGCCATCATCATCATCAGCATCAGCAGCATCAGCACCAGCATCGTCACCATCATCACAATGATCAGCATGGTCATCGTCATCGTCATCGTCATCGTCGTCACCATCGCCATCGCCATCGCCATTGTCATCGCCATCATCATCATCATCATCATCATCATCATCATCATACTCATCATCATCATCATAATAATCAGCAGCAGCAGCAGCATCATCAGCAGCATCAGCATCAGCATCGTCAGCAACAGCAGCACCATCGCCTCCACCATCATCATCGTCATTATCCTTGTCATCGTCTGGGGACGGGCGGGAGCCTCGCCTCTCACCCTGCCCCCTGCCCGGCATGGCCGCCGCCACCTACCGCCTCACGCCTCCGCCGCCGCCGGCGCTGCTGGCATCGGCGCCATCGCCGCCGGCGTGGGCGCCATCGCTGCCGCCGTCGTGTCCAGACATCCTCGCGTACGAGTTGAGAGGCCTTCTAGATGGAGATCGAGTGGACGAGGTCGGAGGATCGCGCCTGCACCGGCGACGTCGGCGATGTATCGGCGCCGTCGGCGTGGGAACATCGGGCTCCACAGCGAGCCGCATCGCTGATGCAGCGGCGATGCGGCGCGATCCTCTGACGCCCATCTACTCGGACCCAGTCTGGGAGCCGTGGATTTGCTCAACCCGCAGCCCCATGAGGCCCCAACCCCTTCCCTTATTTGTAAGTCCAGGCGGGGGCGGCATCTTTGCCGCAGACAACAGAGCACCTGCAGTCCAGGCGCAACGGCTTGACCCCATCAAATTGCGCGGCGCGCTTGCTTCGGCAGGCAGCCTGCCGCGACGTCAGGAGCCGCTCTGAAGGCACCCCCTCCATTGCAATGCGTTGACCCCCTCGGCGCGACAGCGAAAGGATCTGCAAGGGACCCTGACAGATAATTGGGATGGGGATTCTGCGCGCTGAACACGGAGAGATCACAGTTGACCCGCATCATAAGGATGCGCGATAAGGATGCAAGGGCCTTGGACGCCCATTTAGAAACTTCTCGAGCGGGGCGCGGCCAACGAAAGTGGTCAAGGATGGACCGAGGAGGCAAGGATGCAAGGGTACCCTTGGGAAGGTTGCCCATCCTTCTTATTCGGGGGCGCGCAAACATAGATTAGCGATCCATGGATTTGGCGCGCGGTCCCCGAAAATGCGGCCGGTGCCGCCTCGTTCGGCGGCGGACATCCGCGATTTCCCATGGAAACGGGACCCATCCGCGCCCCCCTGATCCATGTTTGCGATCGTCTGAATTATGCGGGTTGACTGTGGAAAGACCTGGGGCGGGACCGATGAATCCACTGGGAATCCCCGGGGCCGGTGATGTCCCTTCCTCGTCACTCTCCTCCTCCCTCTCCTCCTCCCTCTCCTCCTCCCTCTCCTCCTCCTCCTCCTCCTCCTCCTCCTCCTCCTCCTCATCCTCCTCTCCTCCTCCCTCCTCCTCCTCCTCCTCCTCCTCCTCCTCCTCCTCCTCCTCCTCCACCTCGCCAGCAGAGGCGTTGCTCATCCAGGAAGCACCTGCTGCCAAGAACCGCTCCGCTTCCCTCCCCCTGGTTCTCTTCCTCACCCTGCTCCTCACTCACCTCCTGTGGAAAGACCTGGGGCGGGCCCAGCTTGAAGAACACATCTTCCCGACAAGGAGGAGGAGGAGGAGGAGGAGAAGGAGGAGGAGGCGGAACAGGAGGAGGAGGAACAGGAGAAGGAGGAGGAGGAGGATTGTGGACAGACCTGGGGCGGGCCCGGCGAATCCACTGGGAGTCCCTGGGGCCAGTGATGCCCCCGGGAGAGCCCCTCTGTTCTGGCGGTCCCAGGGCCCGACCCCACGGGCGACGGAGGCCGAGATCGGGGGAAAGGAAAGGCCCAGCTTGAAGAACAAATCTTCCCGACAAGGAGGAGGAGGAGGCGGAGGAGGAGGAGGAACGGGAGGAGGACGAGGAGGAAGAGGAGGAAAACGCACAGATTGAACGACGAGGAGGCCGAGATCGAGAAAAAACGCCCAGATTCAAAAACAAGGAGAAGGACGAGGACGAGGACGAGGAGGAGGAGAATGAGGAGGAAAAGGCTCCTCAAAAATGTCGTCGTGCCACCGCCGCCGCCGCCGACGGCGCCGAGGGTCCCCCAAGGGGCTAGAAAACGACGGAAGACCTCCGCCCTGAGATTTTGTTCAGCGTGTTCAGCGTTGGGGGCCCAGATTCTGGACGTCGATGCGCGGCCCCCGGACCTCTCCCGGGGTGCGTCCTGACCAGAATCTCGAGGCGAGTCCAGTCCAACCGTGGCGACGAGAAAGCCCACAGAGGCCCAAAAAGCCTCGATCCTGGAACTGCGACGCTGGAGTCTCGATCCTGGAGCCCAGCGCCGTCGGCGCCGTGGCGCCGTCGTGGCTGTCGACGACGACGACGACGACGACGACGTCGACGACAACGACGACGACGACGATAATTTTAAGACTGTTCGCTTTTACTGGCACGCGCGCGTCTTGCGTTCTGTATACCCCAACCTTCGATACCCGCCCACTTCGTTTTCGATTGCACCCCCTTTCGGGTGGAATATCTTCCTTGTCGGCACTGAAGTGTGAGGAACTCTCGAGCGTGAGCGCCGTTCCTGAGTTCGGGGGCCTCTCTGGCCAGGGGCTTTCGGAATACATATGGAGAAATATCAAACGGGAACCGTTGTCGCCGTGTCTGGGCCTCCACCAACATGCCTGAATTACAAGAAAGTCTCGAGCGAGAGCGCCACTCTTGAGTTCGAGGGCCTCTCTGGCAAGGGCCTTTGCGAATACATCGTAAGGAAGTATCTGACGAGAGCCCTTGTCGTCGTAGTTGGGCCTCCACCAATTTGACTGAATCGCGAGAAAGTCTCGAGCGAGAGCGCCGTTCCTGAGATTCGGGGGCCTTCCTGGCCAGGGTCTCTCGAATAAATCGTGAGGAAGTATCGAGCAGGAGCCCTTGTCATCGTGGCTGGGCCTCCGCCAACTTGAATGAATTGCGGGAAGTATCGAGCGAAAGCGCCGTCCCTGAGTTTGGGGGCCTCTGGCCAGGGTGTCTGGGGGTAAATTGTGAGGAAGTACCAAGCGCGAGCCGTTGTCGTTGTAGCCTGCCATCCAAAGGCCCACATTTGCACCCAAGCCAACGTTCGCGCGGGAGCCTCGCTTTCAGAGAACATGTAGCCGCCGTCGCGGCGAGAGCGCGCGGAACCGTTTCCGGAGATCAGCAGCCATTCTCCAGAGGTGACTATTCGATGGCGGCAGCGGCGGCGACCACCACGACGACGACCGTCGGCGGCGGCGCGTGGGCGGGGCGGTCGGCCCGCCGTGGGAGGGCGGCGGCGGCCCGGGCCCGCCGCCGGCGTAGGCGCCGCCGTAGGCCGGCGGGGGCGGGGCGGGCCCGACGGGGGCGCCATAGGCGTGCTCGTGGCCTGTGGCGGCGAGGGGCCGCCGGACGGTTACGACGCCGGCAACGACAAGGGCCGCCGCGCGGGTCGTCGTCGTCGCCGTCGCCGACGCCTGCCTGCGCCACCTGCCGCCGTGGACGCCGCCGTCGCCGCCGCCGCCGCCGTCGTCGTCGACGCCGCCGTCGTTGCCGTCGCCTCCGCCGCCATCGCCGCCATCGCGGCAGCGTCTTCGCCGCCGCCGACGCAGGCCGCGCGCGAGCGCGCGCGCGCGCCTTGCGGCGGGCCCGGCGGCGGAGGGCCGCCGCCGCCGCCAGGCGCGGCGCGCCGGGAGGGCCTGGGGGGGGAGGGCGGCGGCCGCCGCCAGGGCGGCGGCGTCGCAGCGCTTCTGGGCGGCAGCCGCGGCGTGCACGGTGGCGGAGACGGGGAGGAGCTGGGAAGGAGGGGCGGAGGGAGGGAGGAGCGAAGAACGTGGAGGGAGGGTTCAGGGGAGGAGGGGAGGGAGAGAGAGAGAGAGGACCGGTGAATCCGAATCCGAATCCAACTCATGGAGTTCTGATCATCTCAACACGAGAAGACCAGCGGAGGACGGAGAAAGGAGGAAGGAGGACGGAGGAAGGAGGAAGGAGGAAGGAGGAAGGATCAGGAGGAGGAGGAGGAAGACGACGACGACGACGACGACGACGACGACGACGACGACGACGACGACGACGACGACGACGACGACGACGACGACGACGACGACGACGACTACGACCACGACGACGACGACGACGACGAAGAAGAAAGCGAGGCCGAGGGCGGTACGGTACGACCACGGGGACCGAGCTGGTGCCAGGGTCAGGTGCCCCGAGGCGCGCGCGGCGGGGGCTGCCAGCGGTTGGGCGGCGCCGCGGGGCAAGCGATCGGGTGACGTACTCCTCCTCCTTCTTCTCCTCCTCCTCCTCCTCCTCCTCCTAGCTCTCCCCCTCCTCCCTCCCTCCTCCCCCTCCTCCTCCTCCTCCTCTCCTCCTCCTCCTCCTCACTGCCCCTCCTCTCCCCCTCCTCCTCCTCCTCCTCCTCCTCCTCCTCCTCCTCACCCTACCCTCCTCTTTCTTCTCCTCCTCGCTCCTCCTGCTCCCCTCCTCCTCCTCCTCCCCTCCTCCTCCCTCCTCCTCCTCCTCCTCCTCCTCCTCCTCCCCCTCCTACTCCTCCCCCTCCTCCCTCCTCCTCCTCCTCCTCCTCACCCTACCCCTCCTCTTTCTTCTCCTCCTCCTCCTCCTCCTCCTCCTCCTCCTCCTCCTCCTTCCTCCTCCTCCTCCTCCTCCTCCTCCTCCCTCCTCCTCCTCCTCAGCCGCCTCCGCCTCCTCCTCCTCCTCCCCCTTCTCCTCGCGGCCTCTGCCAGGGGCACTGCCCTTGCCGAGGGCGCGACACGGGCCGTGGACCCGGGCGCCCTCTCTTGCCGGGGTGCGCGATGGGCGCCGCGCAGAGGGGCGACCACGGGACGCGGGGGGAGCCTGTGGGGGCCTCTGCGCCGACCTGTGGCGCAGAGGGCGCCAGAGGTCAGCGAATTCAGTCCACGCGGGACGCGGCGCCAGGGCTTGGTGTGCGGAGCTACGCCACAACCACTGCCCCAAGAGCGCGCGTGCACCGCGACACACGGGTCATGACGCCGCCAGATGGAGCACGAGATAAGGAGCAGAAGGGCTTTCCTGGCCACGGCATGCCTCGGCCACGATGAGGCTCCCCGACTTAGACCCAACGAGCGGCCCGAGAGTCAGGGCCCCTTCTGAACCCAGCGCGGTCCTTCTAGTTGTTTCCAGTTTGCGCCACAGGCTGCCTGGTAGCCTGTGGCGAAAGCCGCTGAGGGCGAGGATGAGCACGCGGGCGGAGATGGAGATGACGGCAATCATGATGACGATGAGGATGCAGGTGAGAGGGAGAGGGAGAAAGGAAGAAGGGAACAGGGAGAAAAATGTGCACATGTGTGCACATGTGTGCTTCTAAGAAGCGGGGGCGTTCGGGACACAGTGATGTGTGAGAAAGGGGGCGAGGGGGGGGGGGAGAGGAGACGAGAGGGGGAAAGGACAGGGAAAAGAGAGAGAACAAAAAAGAAGGAGAAAGAGAGAGAGAGAGAGAGACGGAGGACAGACAGCCAGCCAGCCAGCCGGACAGTCAGACAGCCAGCCAGCCAGCCAGCCAGACAGGCAGGCAGGCAGGCAGGCAGGCAGGCAGGCAGGCAGGCAGACAGGGAGAGGGGGAGGGGGGGAGGGAGGGAGGGAGGGAGGGGAAGGAGCGAGCGAGAGAGCGAGAGAGAGACACAGAGACGCAGAGAGGGCGAGAGACCGAGAGAGAGGGGGGGGGGGGGGGGGGACGGGGACGGCGGAAGCAGCGCGCAGGGGCGGCAGAGGCGGAGGCGCCGCCTCGTGCGCCGCGGGGCTCCCCGGCGAACTTCTCGGCCCCCTCTGGCGCCGGGGGGCCCCCACAGGGCGCAGCAGGCCGCCGGAGGAGCGGGGGGATGGCCGCGAGGGGGGGAGTGACTACCTACCAGACCACCCCAACCCAACCCGAAGGCCCGAATTTGACCCGAATTTCGGGTTGGGGGGGGTACGGATTCCATGTGTTTTTTCGATGTTCCCCGACCCCCCCCCACTGGAAATCGAGGATAATTTTGGGCCTTCGGGTTGGGTTGGGGTGGTTTGGTGGGTGGTGAGAGGGGGAAGCCGGAGGGAGGCCTGACGCTGGGGCGTTTGTCTCCGCGGCTCGCTGCAGAGCCAAGCGGGGGGGAGGGGGCAGGAGCGGCAGCGGAGCCATGGGTCAGGGAGGGGGGAGAGCGGGTGGTGGCAGCCCCCAGCAAGGGGGAAGGCGGGAAGGGGAGGGAGGGGAGGAGGAGGAGGAGGAGGAGGAGGAGGAGGAGGAGGAAGGAGGAGGAGGAGGAGGAGGAGGAGGAGGAGGAGGAGGAGGAGGGGGAGGAAGGGGGGGATTGAGAAAGGGGTGGTAGAAGGGGGATAGGGGAAGGGCAGAAGGGGGTACGAGGGTAGGGAGAGGAGTGATATGCAGAGATCGGAGCGACAACGCGCGTGCCGAGTCTACTGGACTAGTTGGTGCCGTTGATCTCGATTTAGTCCCGAGCATGTCTCGGATTGCCCACATTTGTTCTTGCTCGACTGAAGCCAGGCATTGGCATTTCTGAAGATCGCAACGGGTCTGAGCTGTTCAAAGCAGCCCCGCACGAGTGCGCTCGGCTGTTTCACCCTCTTGTCCTAAAAAGTGTGGTGTCGATTCAGCCGCCGCTCCAGTGGAAGGGGGGCCACCTTTTTGAGGTCTTTAAAAGCAAGGGGGACTCGACAGCTATCTCGTCGTACCGGGATGCCACGATTTGTGAGGCTGCATCGAAATCCATGTCGAATCATATGCGCGCCCAAGGTCTTCCTGCCCTCGCTAGAGCCAGTCCGACGTTGCAGTTCGGAGGTGGCCTTAATGGTGGGTCGACAGAATTTGATCATTTGTACCTTATTGCGTGTATGGACATCGCTCGCAAGCTCGGTTTGTCGTTTGGCGCCTTGTTTGTTGGCCTTCGCAAGCATTGCCCGCATGATTGCTTTCCCTGCGCCGTCGTCCATGGACGATTTTGTGGCGAAACTTCTGAAAGGGGGATTCACCCTAGAGGAGGCGAGAGATGTCGCTGAAGGGGTGATGGCTTACGAGTATTGGCTCGATTCGGGCGGCTCTGAGCACTTCATGGCCGTGCTCAGCAAACTTCATCGTCAGTCGTGGTTTGCCGTTGAAGGTGTGTCTGGTTGCGTCGAGACTTCGTCTGGGTCTCTTGCCGGCAACGCGCTTGGAGATTTTGTTTTTACTGGCGTTCAGTCGCCTGATGCGCGCTGTTGATGAGCGTCTTAGCGCTGAAGGCCTCCTGCATGAGATATCGGCCGAACCGTCCCTTCCACGGTTTGGCAAAACTGAGAGGGCCAACATCGGCTGTGCCATGGTCGCGCTGCGGCCGGCTGGATACGTCGAAGACGTCGTTCAAAACACCAGCTCGCCAAATCATTGCGAAGATGAGCGCGTGCGCGAGTGTACGTTGATGGATTCACCCGTGTTGCGCTCATCATCAATTTCAAAAAGAGCAAGACAGGGGCGCTCTTCGGGTTCGCAGGGCCCGGCACTGCCGAGGTGAAGAGCCAGTTGTTCGCTGACAGCGGCGCTTTGATCCCTTTTATATCCATGGGCTCTGAGCGCCAACTCGTGGCTACGTCGCAGTGCAAGCACGTGGGTATCATCACGTGTTGCACAGACACAATGCAACCTGATATAACTGCGAAGATGAATGTAATGAGGGGGACTTTTGAGCAGATCCGCCCAAGCATTCTGACCAGTGCTTCGGTGGATGTCGAGAAGCGCATCATGGTATGCCAAGGGCTTCTGTTTCCTAAGGGTCTTCACCAGGCAGGGACATGGCCATCGTTATACTATGGGAAAATGGTTCGGGTACACACTTCCATCATGCAGGTGCAATTTTCGATGTTTCGTGACGACTGCAAGGGTGCAAAATCCGCCGGCCCCCTTGTGGGGCCACCAGGCTGTAGGCCCGTGATTCGCAGTTTCCTGTACCAGTCGTAGGTTATAGTTTCCAGTTCTGCTTCTTGCTGGTTACTGGAACTAGTTGACTTATTGCTGGTTACTGTAACTAGTTGATTGACCGCGCGAGGGGGGGGGAGGCCCAAAGTGGCTTTTTAGCGTCCCCTGGGCGCGTTGTCTGAATTGCTGGGGGGGCTCGAAATCGACACCCCTCACGCAGATCCGCGGGGTCAGGGTCCAAAAACACAGGGATTTGCCACATTTCTGAAATTCGGTGCCACCCCTCACGCAGATCCGCGGGGTCAGGGTCCAAAAACACAGGGATTTGCCACATTTCTGAAATTCGGTGCCACCCCTCACGCAGATCCGCGGGGTCAGGGTCCAAAAACACAAGGGATTTGCCACATTTTGAAATTCGGTGCCACCCCTCACGCAGATCCGCGGGGTCAGGGTCCAAAAACACAGGGATTTGCCACATTTCTGAAATTCGGTGCCACCCCTCACGCAGATCCGCGGGGTCAGGGTCCAAAAACACAGGGGATTTGCCACATTTCTGAAATTCGGTGCCACCCCTCACGCAGATCCGCGGGGTCAGGGTCCAAAAACACAGGGGATTTGCCACATTTCTGAAATTCGGTGCCAAAAAACACAAGGGATTTGCTACATTTTTGAAATTCGGCGCCACCCCTTACGCAGATCCGCGGGGTCAGGGTCCAAAAACACAGGGGATTTGCCACATTTCTGAAATTCGGTGCCACCCTTCACGCACATCCATCGCAAGGCGTGGTAACCCAAACTGCGAGAACTCCCTCGGCCCTTTAATCGCAAGGTGTGGTAACCAAGCCCGTAAACCATACACGTCTTACCAATCGCCAGGTGTGGTAACCCCTCTTGTGATCAGTTGGTTTTGCTGATTGCGAATCGGCTTCGCATGAAGTTTCGATACTGCTTCACGACAGCGCCAAGGCCTCATGACTTAGCTCTTCCATGGCCCATTCTCCGAGAGAGGGGGCCGGCGGCAGGGGGCGAAGCCCTTACGGATCACCTGCTCACGCTTTCATCACCTCGCACGATTATGTTGTCGCGCCAGCGATCATGATACTGTGCATGCGGCTGTCTTTTTGTGAGGGTTTGCATTGGAGGCGTCCATGAATTGTGCGTTGCGTTAGCCCACACTGTTGGTCTACTGAGGTCGTGGTTGCAGGCTGTTGTTGACGACTTAGTGATGTTGTCGTCCACGTCGGAGGCCTTTGTCTCTTTCAGTGCCGCGTCGCTCGAAGAGTGGATCGCCGTGGTTAGGGACAAACGGCGGCGCTTCAAGAAAGCCCTCCCGGATGCTAAGTCGGAAAGGTCCGTCAATGATGTGTCCGCGTGGGCTAGGACGAAGCGGGTTGCTGAGGTGGACGCGACGTTCGCGTGCACCAGGTGCGATTGCCACTACAATTCTCGACAGCAGCTGGCCCAACATGCTTTTAATGTGCATGGGGTCGGACAGGTATCCCGGGAATACGTTGAGACGGACTATTGCCCCGTATGTCTGCAATGTGTTCATTCCAGAATGCGTGTGGTCAAGCATGTCGAAGAGAAATCCAGGCGTTGCCGTCATGTTCTTTTGGGAACTTTCCAGGGGATGCCCCCGCATGTGGCAGCTGGGCTTGACCGGCAGGATGCCGACAGAGCGCGTAAAATGGCCAGGAAAGGACGCAGGCGACACCATGTTGACACTGGCGTCGAGCGGCTGAGTGGGCCGCTGATCAGGGAAGCTTACGAGGCTGGCATCAGCCACAGATCCCTCCTTTCCTGTCCTCTTCTCCCGGCCCCACAGATAACCGAACAGGGGCCCGTGCAACTCGTGAGTCTGAGCGAACAGGCGCCTCTCTGCCAGGCCATGCCGAGCCGTCGCGGCTGCAGGTGGCACCTCTTCACGCGCATGTGTCGCCCAGTCGTACTGGCTGTCTTTTCCCTGATGCATCTCTGGCTCCAGACGCCCCCCTGAAGCAGTGCAAACGAAACGAGTGGCAAGAGGGAAATTGGAGGGGGAAGGAAAGAAGTGGGAGAGGGGAAAAAGGGGAGATGGGAGAGGAGGAGGAAGAAGAACAGGAGGAAGACGAGTGGACAGAAAAAGCAGGAGTGCTACGCCTTGCGCCGTCCCAAATTCAGGAACAACGTCGGGAACACGCGTACCCCATCATCGTGCGGAAACAGACAGGGGGGTTCTTCTTCTTCCTCCTCCTCCTCCTCCTCCTCCTCCTCCGCCTCCTCCTCTTTCTCCTCCTCCTCCTCCTCCTCCTCCTCCTCCTCCTCCTCTTCTCCTCTCCTCCTCATTCCCGTCCTCCTATTTCTCCTCCTCATATTCTTCTTCTCCTATTCCTGTCCTCCTCATCCTTCTCCTCCTCCTCCTCCGCCTCCTCCTCCTCCTCTTTCTCCTCCTCCTCCTCCTCCTCCTCCTCCTCCTCCTCCTCTTCCTAATCCTCCGCCATCTCCTCCTCCTCCTCATCCTCCTCCTCCCCCTCATCATCCTGCTCTTCTTCCTTCACTAAACGCACGACAAACTCCTCGACTGGGTGCATCGTCGACTCCTCCTTCTCCTCCAACTGCAACTCCTTCGTGCGCATCCCCTCTTCATCACAATACTGATGTTCCTCATCCTCCTCCTCCTCCTCGTCCTCGTCCTCCTCCTCCTCCTCCTCCTCCCTCCATCCCTCCTCCCTCCCTCTCCTCCTCCTCCACCTCCTCCTCCACCTCCTCCTCATCCTCCTCCTCCTCATCTTCCTCCTCCTCCCCCTCCTATCCATCCGCCCCCTCGTCCTCATTCACGAATCCATCTCCCCCACACCCACCCCGTGCCCTGCTCATCTTCCTTCTGCTCATCACCCCTCCCC